GTGATTCTGAATAAACAAATGATATACAAATCGATACACATTTAATTTACGATACATGTGTAAACAATGGGTGATACAAGTCTGTTCGGGGGGGGGGGGGGGGGGGGGGGGGGGGTCTAGAAAATTTATTTATGAATTAATTTGTTTGAAAATATGTATCAACAAAATAAGAATTCTTTTTTTCATAAGTTTGAACAATTAGAAATGATAGAAAACACCAACTTTGAAATAAAGTCAAGATCTATGACATTTTTCACTTACTTATAGGCTTCCCAATATGGGTACAGTCCACTAATTGTTTTCCCATAGGCGACAATGTTAACGTTTCTTCTCATAGCGATGTCCCTAATTTTCGTTCAGCAGTGAGTGACCCCTCAAATCAAAGCACATCAACTTGTCTTTCCTTGGTCAAAATCTCGAGGTGGCATGTCAGATTCGTTTTCCGGCAAAATGCGTCTGTCTGCGGCAACCTCTAAAAATGAAAGTGAAAGTAGGGGAAACTCAGAGTTCTAACTGGCGTTATAATACACAAAATAATTCGGCTGATCTTCTTGATGAATTACATTTGCCAAACTTTTTTGGTAGGAAAGATACTCCTTATCAACAAGTGTGAGGCTCAGTTTAGTACATCTGCACAATTTTTTTTATGCAAGTCTGCAAGTTAAGGAACTTGTAATTTTTTCTGCACTACTTTCTTCTCCTACCGATTCTAAAAATAATTAGTGGGATGTACCCATTTTGATGATAACATTTCTTTTTATAAAGGTTTATCACAAACTAAAGGATCAGAATATAAGTACATGTACGACAACAATGAAAACTGTATTGATGTCAAGATAGACGTTCTGTTTACGCTGAGTAATGGAGAGGAAGTAGTAAAGTTTGATGGAAATAATTTCACAGTGAAGAGCGGGGACTGTGCAACTATTGGAGAATATCAGGCTGTATTGACACTGACAAATTCCAATGAAGACCTTCTGTCCTTGTCTTTCAATGCTCTCCCGGATTTATCAGTGAATATGAGCTTGATGTTTACATTTGCTCCATTTGAGTTCTTTCCAGGAACACACATAAGTGAGATATTATATTGACAGTTTAACCATATCAAATAAATACAGCTAGAGCATTTACAAGACATGGTTACAGTTCATCTCCTTATCCAATTTCCAATACTAAAATAATTATTCACTAAATTCAGTTTTAACAATTTTGTTACAATTCATCTTTTCTATTTTCATTACAAAGTATTTTTTTTCAAAAAATTACAGTTGCAATAAATTTGTTGGATATTGGAGACTTGAAACTTGGAGGAGTAGACCAGTTATACCAATGTGATTCCTCTCAGAGAATGGCATTGACTGGAAAGTTGGAAGGCACCATTTATACTATGTATATGTACATGTCTAATGTCCAGATTCAGGCTTTTAATATAAAGAATGGGACCCTCAGCACTGATGGTTAGATGTAAATACTTATTGCAGAATACTACTGAACACACACACACACACACACACACACACACACGCACGCACGCACGCACGCACGCACGCACGCACGCACGCACGCACGCACGCACGCACGCACGCATGCACGCACGCACGCGCGCGCGCGCGCGCGCGCGTGCGTGCGTGCGTGCGTGCGATCTTCGCTGTTCCTCACATCGGATATGTCTTGATTTTTTCTTCATAAAATAACTGGTCATGGTAACCTAGCAGTAGAGCGTTCGGTGCGTGATCTGGAGGCCCGGGTTCGATATATATCCCTTCGCAGCGCCGCCTCAAACCTAAGACTTAGGCATTGGTAGTGTCTGTTCCCTCGCCAAGCGCTCGGCACAACAAATGAAAGTCAAGGGTCTTTCGAATATGACCTTAAAAAACATTTTAAAGGTCACGGTACGCTTTGGGACGATGAGGAACCCTCACCCTCACTACTCAATGGCCCTGAGTGCAGAGTATAGGTCTAAATTTGAAGCCTTTCACCGGCATACGGTGACGTCCCAAAATTCTCGAATGGGAAGTTAAACAATATACAATCAATCAATCTTAATGAAATTGTTTGGTTATACATGATATAAGCCGCATATAGTGTTATGTTTTTTATTTAGATCATACTGGAATATACCTTTCTTTATTACAAGTTAATACAAGTAGAGCTGGTCAGAAATTACTGGTTTTAAAGTTATTTGTTGAATCTTTAAAAAATAAATATTCTTATTTAAAACATAACTAAGTTATCTATAGGTACATTTTTTTATTGCCGGAATACGAAAGCCCAGAAGGCTCATTCGAGATTGAAGTTTCGAAATACAAGTTTCGAAATTCGAGTTTTGAAATTCAAGATCCAAACTAACCAATCAAATCGGGTTCAACATTTGATTACTCCCCGTTGTTACATTTTTACTATCAAGAAATCGTTGAATATATTCATAACAAATGGGTCATTTGCTAAAATGATAATGCAAGAAAAAATGTTTTATGCATTAAAAAGAAATGAAAATGAAAGTTGGATTACATTTTGAAAATTACACATATAATTTTATTTTTCTCATTGAGCAGAATAGTAAATACGTATATATGGAATATATGGTCTTATCGTTGACTTGCGGAACAAGTAGGTCGAATATTTTTTTATCAGATCATTGCTGAGGGAGAATATTATATTTGATTATAATTAGATAAGAAATACTAGTATTATGAATCGTCTCTATACTGCATAGTAATTCAAGGGTATATATTTCATTACATTTATAAAGGGTACATTTGTGCAGTGAGACTTGGCTGCTGAATCAGCTGTAGCGTAATAAGGTTTCATAAGTATATTTTAGTCTTTGGTCATAACGGTATGGTCGGAGACTAAAATTTAAAACCATAACGCTATAGTTCTGCATTTAGACTCATCTTCTATTGATATATAAAAAAAATAAGTGCCGCATTCATTTTAATTCATATTGCAAATCTGTATTGTATATATGATTTTTAATTAATTTAAGAAATCAAAGCCTTAGATGAAGATAAGTTATTAAATACTTAATTTTTTTTATGTATTTCCTCTATCAGGAAAACGAACACGATTTTTGTTTTTCAATACTACGTCGCCTTTCAAGTTTTCCAAAGTAACATTTTCAGTGTGTTTGGAAAAATAGGCAGGTGAGGTGGGTATGGATGGGGTTATAGTAAATCTTTAGAAACTTCTTACTTATTTATAACTTTATTTATATGTCATCAACCCCGGAAACAAAGTAGACAAGACAAAAATATATATACTCCTGATATATGTATTCTATCTAATATTTAAGAAGCCATAATATAAATTGAAGTATATCTTGTTGTTCAAAAATTCAATGATTATTTAAATTTCCTTCTAATATATATAATACTCTTTCTTGCATTGTAATGAAATAATTCTTTCAATAAACGGCGATTAGGCATTAGCGATTGAAAAGGTCAACCATTGATGCAAAAATTAATGGCATTAAGCGTTGCAGTTGCAACGCTTCATGATACTGTATCATTAAGCAGCTTTATATCATTAGTGGTTGCTACAGAGTATAATGGACGATCAAAGTTTTACATAGGAATACATAGGGAAAATTTTTTTAAACTCTTCTTATTAAGAACAGCATGAAGCCATGATATCATATTCATATATTTGGAAGCATCCTCAGGTAGTGTAGATTTAACTGTGTTCAAATCATGACCCCTAGGGGTGGGGTTGGGCCACAATGGGGGGATCAAAGTTTTACATACACAAATACAGGAAAATATTGTTAAAAAATTTAGAAGTTCCAAAGAACAGCAAAGCCATGATTGGTCATATTAATATTGAGATGTCCTCAGCTGGTATAGATTCAAGTCTGTTCCAATCATAACCCCCAGGGGTATGGTGAGTCCAAAACGGGTGATCAAAGTTTACCATTGGAATATATAATAATCTTTTGAATTTATTAACACACCTATTTTACGCTATATTTCAGTGTTTGTGTACCTATTTTACGCTATATTTCAGTGTTTGTGTGTAGTGCTGATCAGATGACATCTGCAGCACAAGAGACAACAAAAGCAATATCACAACCAACAACAGAACCGTCAGCATCAAATATAACAACTTCAGGTCCCTCTAATGTAACAACAGAGAAAACAACAGTTCCATCGAGGGATCCTACCACTTCACCTCCAAATCCTTCATTTCCCCCAAAGTCCAGATATGAAGTCAATGAGTACTCCAGAGTCTGTCTCATCTTGGAGGGGCGCTTCCAGCTTAAAGTGACTTATATGACAAAGGATAATAAAACTGTGAGATTTTTGGGAATCTTTCCACAAAATTTTAAATTCAATCAAATTTTGATGGCCCCCAGTGAATATACCCCAGTAAATCATAGACTTTTATACTATATACATTTTTGGACAGTGCAAAGTTGGAACATGTTTGCTAGAACACTCTATACAAAATATTCTTTAAATAAGTTCAACTTTGTTATGTAGGATTGTTCCCATTCGTACAAACCATGCGACTTCTTTTTCTTCAAGGGTAGGATAGTTTTGATCAGATCATAGTCATCCGAAAGACCTAGGCAGACCAACAGGAATAGGAAATTGAAAAGGAACAGCTTAAGCTTTACATCAGCAGAGCTCTGGGGATCAGGCAGAGATCTTCTAGTAGAATACTCATAAATGTCAGACAAATCTCCTTAAATCTAGAATGAGATGTTGCGGACCAGTAATATGTCCCTTTTGTTTATTTAGCAAAAAATTTAATTTGCATGTATGTAGTAATGTAATAAGTTATCGTTCATTATACAGGCTTGTACAACGGTGGGTGTTCCAGTCAGCAGTGATGTCATTGTTACAGGAACATGTGCTACTGGAAGTAAAAACACTTCTCATATCACTATCACACCAAAAGATGCCGAAATTCAATCTTTGACATTTTATTTTGAAATAATGAACGGAAAATCTAACCTTATATCTTTGTTTGCTGATGTGAAGATCTTAGATGCTATGGAATGTAAGTATCAATGGTGCACACAGTTACGGCAAATTTAATGGATTTAATAGTAATAGGATTTAATTCATGCCATTTTTAATTGTTTTGAATGTCACTCTACCATCTGACATGATATTAAATAATGAAATCGAGAAGTGATTTCTTAGTCAAGTATCTCACTAAATATGACTGATGATTAGTTTAAGCTCCTGTGAAGGTGAAACTACTCTTAGTTACAAGTACCAATTGTACAACCACCCATCCCCCGGCCCTGATTACTGGAAATAATCCTGATGAACGTTGTTATAGGGACTGGCAGAAAGAAAAACGTCACATAATTTACAATTTGAAAGTTTTGTATGTACATGTTCATGTACTTCAAAAGTCATACGTCTAAGTCACTAGTACGGTATATATTTGACAATAAGTCGGTATTTTGGACGTTAAATATTGGTCTAAAAATTTATGTCCGACTTATAGACGAGTCATACAGAGATTGGTATTTTTCTGGAGACTGAAATGTAGTATCTTATTTGCATTTTCAACGATTATCGAAGAAAATGTCTGGATATATAATCATGATAATTCGTGTAGTCTTATATTAAATATATAAAGTACAAGTATCTATATAAATGTACTTTGATAATTTTATTTGTATTTTGAGTGAGCATTGCTTTTTTGTTTAATAGTTTAACATTAAATGTCAGTGTCATTTTGAAAAATATTCATTGAAACTTGGTTAAAACATTAATGGATTTACTTGAAATTATCACCAGATTTTGGCAAAAAATTGTATCGACTTATAAGCGAGTCAATAGCTAATCGCACCAAAATAACGTCAAAAAATACAAGCGACTTATAGGCGGACCGACTTTAAGACGAGTATATACAGTATATTGTATTTAAAAAATAAACCGTATAAATTATGTCACTGGCTTTATATGTATGTTTTAACCTAATGAATCTCTCACTTAAATAGCTAGTCGAAAAAGAACATTTTCCGAAACAAGTTCTAAAAATAAAGACCTTAAACTGTAATCAGACATATGATAGGACATTGAAATACTTTTTTCTAGTTGCATTCTGTATATGATTTATGTCGACAATGGAATATATGGAGATAACGCACAATATTCAAACTAAAAGTCTATTAAACCATATAAATCAGAAACAGAACAAACACGGACCTCTAAGGTATCAGAGGCAGTGCCAAAGAGGAGTGACCGGTCACACCCGCTATGTGCTCCTTGTTCTGATTGGGGAATGGCGGAAATATCCTTTGAAAATTCAGTGTGTAAATAAGAGCCTAATAATAAGTACGAAAAACATCGGCTAGCATTTGACGAAATGATAAATTGCGTTTGCTGAAAAGGTCATGGTATTGACCAGCTACTTACGAAATGATGATTTGAAACTAGACTGCTTATATTCTTTGTTTTATCAAATTGTTTGTCAATGGCTTCCTCGTTGTACAAATTGTTCATACGTAGAACACGTTCTTTCGTATTGTCAAAATTAACTGAAAGATATACACCTCGTATGCAGGTGAAAAAGGTATATTGCTGCATATATAAGGGATTCTGACGATTGAAAAGTTAAAGTCATCATGTTTTTCATAAATCCTTGGCAATTAGATTACCATTAACATCCTTTTTTTCTAGTAAAATACATCAATGTGAATCAATGGCCATTTTATATTTTTAATTTTTTATGTAAACATAGAGTTAGGACTCAGACGTGTGATGTCGAAGTGTGAATATCATTATGAAAATGTATGTTTTCTTTCAGCTGATTTCAGTCACTTAGTGACTGAAAAAGTGGATTTGTCAAGTCCTAATTTATATTACAAGTGTGAAAATGAGGGAAACTTTTCGGACAATAAACTGGCCTTCATGTACAGAGAGTTAAAAGTACAGGCCTTTAATGTTGAGGACGGAAAGTTTTCAGAAAATGGTAAATATTGTACAAGCACGTATAAACAATTGGTGACATTAATAAGATAAAGGTTCATTTCATTGTGACATATCTGTGTGCCAAATGCATTGTATACTTACAGCTAAACTATCTCTGTGCTTCATTTATTGTACCCGTTATTGAAAATAAGTTGAACATTTAATGGATATTGCACATATCTTCGTTCGAGGAAGGCTAATCTGAAAAGTTCGATCTTTCATATTTCAGGAGTGAATTGTGAGACAGATGTTGGGCCCATTCCAGCTCCAGGTTGTTCTCCTGTTAATATATATTCTGTACTAAATGGAAATAATACCTGCATTGTATTCAAGGGAAGCATCCAGCTCTATATTCCTTATATTTCAAAGACTGGCGTAAGTTTGAAATCGCATTGACAGTTATACCGGGGGTACTAGGGTAATGAGCGTATGTTGTTTTTTCCTGTTTGTCTGTTTATCTGTCTGTCAACTTTAACCAAGGTCATAACTATTGCGCTGTCAAGGATAAATGTATACCACTTCAGTCTACGTTCCAGTCCAGAATTGTTATCATCGGCGGCATATTGTTTCACAAACACATCTTGTTCTGAAACTTAAAGAATAATAGATATTTATGGAAATATTGAATGTTGAAGTTATTCATTTTTATGATCCCGTCATCGACGATTCCGTGTATACAGCTGTATGTACATATATGATGCACGTTTTTATTTTAAATAAATGTTAGATAACCACAGAAGTGGTTTCCCTGCCAGCAGTGTACAATGTGTCCGGTGAATGCAACACAACTCTGAATGGACTCTACTCTCAGCAAATGGTCATTCGCTTTTACGACGCCTGGACCTTGACAATTTACTTCTCATCTGAAAAGATTCAAGAGACAGATCTATTATCAGCTGGGACTGCTGTTGATAACTACTATATCTCACAAATAGAGCTGAAGTATGATTACAACAACGTCCTCTTTAAGGATGCAGTCGATAGCAGTAAGTTTCGAACACGTTTGTTAAAAAACTTTGAAATTTGGCAAGTACGAAATGCATTTTGACTAGTGTATGGAAAATAGTAATAGTGCAGTGCAACATGTTCTTTACAGAAAATTATGAAAGATGAAAAGCAGAAAATGAAAATTAAATCGTATATTTAAGGAATGTTTAATTGTGAGATTAAGTATCGAAAAAATATTTGCAGTTCTTGGTAAAGAAATGTCAGATGTTGCTGCCAATCTCAGAAAACTTACTACGAATAATAACAAGAGCTACAAGTGTCAGAGAGAAACTACCTTTCATCTGCAAAATGGATTATCTATGGTTACCAAAGACCTACAGTACCAAGCTTTCAAAACTGGGGACACGGCAGACTTCAGTGGTAAGCTGTACTAATTAAAATTTATAAAAAAAAAATCTATTTAAAAGAATAGAAACATAATATGTATGAATTAAGAAGTTCCTACTAATGCATCTTATAGAGTTTCTTACAATTAGAAAAATGAATTTCGAGAAGACAATCTGTAACACGATTCATACATTTTTGGACACTGTAAATTTGTTACCTTTGAATTGACTCTTCCTTCTTGGCGATCTGTTTGTTACAGAAAGTCTCCTTTTAAGATCTATTAACTCGTTATCAAAAAACGTGGTGGACACGATATAAGGCATATCTCCTTTTTTTTTTTTTTAAAAAGATCATGATAATTCTAAATTTCATTTAAAATTTCCCTAAACAAAAGTCTTCTGAAAGATACGGAGATGTAGACTCTTGTCTTTCTTGCAAATAATAATATTAATAAAGAGAACACACGGACACGTTATGAGTATTTGTATCAACTTCATATAAATTGCAGGAATAAAAATTGATGACTGCATTATCAAAACTAGATCAAGATACACAGGGTGAAATTTCATTTAGTTTAACCATTGAAACTAAAACTTCATTAGAATACAGTAATTAAGTATCTAACTTTTTTATGACATGACCAACCTTAAATAGAATGATAAATCTCTCACATGTTAGAATTTATTTATTACTAGTATTTTCAACATATTTTCCAAAGCAAGTAAAATCACCAAATAAAAGAAAATAACTAGTATGTAATGTGTTCAAGAATATCGCAAACATAGCCGAGATATATAAACATGTGCATGAAAAATTCTGATTTACAATGTACTGTTCAAATCTTTCTATAGATGAAGTCAATTGTGAAAAAGAAGAAGACAGACATTATATACTGTACATCGCTATAGGAGCATCAGCCGGGGGATGTCTACTTGTTGTCGTACTGGTGGTTACTGTATACGTCATCAACAAACGCCGGAAATATGAACAATTAACTCTGTAAATAGAAATGCCGATAAAAAAAAAACAATTAATGAGTCTATCAAAATATATATTAAGATGTCTGATTTGGAAAGTTTTGATCAATGCAGTGGCAATTCAATAATTGATTGTTGCAAGTTAGCAGCACTGATTGCAGCAATTTTCAGTAATGTTTGTCGCAAGAGAAAAATCTTATGTTTGCTGCAGACCTGCAACAAACCTCATGTGCACAGTGGTTGCTGCAAGCGTCCCGCATGCTTTCCACAAACTTGCTGCAAACACAAAAGCTTTGCATATGATGCTGTCGTGAATTTTTTAGCTTAATTGCAGCAAACTTGCAGCAATATCTGCAGCAGACATTTTTGTAATGTGGAAACATTGTCTTTTCTTTTCTTTCTTTTTTTTAAAGAAATATTTGTAATTATATCTCTGATGCGTATCAAATCAACTTATAGACATAAACTCCTGATGTAGGTGACTATAGGTGATGCTTAGGACATTGCTACCTAAATATGGGAAGTTGACAATAGGAAGGTTTTGATCATTACGTTGATCATATTTTTTTGTTAGGCTACCATTTACGCCTACTTCCAGTAAAACAACCAAATATGAAACAGATTAGACAAACGTTGTAATTATATCTTGTATATCAATTTCACTGGGACGTATATTTAAGTCGACATATAACGAGTTGAAGGCAACAAAAGGTGTTTTCTTCTTCTTGTACGAGGGCTGTTCGAAAAGTTCGTGGACTTCTGTCATATCTTTTTATATGACGTCATATGTTATCCAAATTTGGTAGAAATATTTTAACAATAAATTAAAATAATTTATGTTATTTTTTTTAAGTATTGCGATTTATTCATAATCTATCCAGATTTAAGAAATGCAAAAATCGGGTCGCAGAGCAGGTCAAATTTTTTAAAGTTACAAACAATACACTAAATAATGTCTTTAGTCATATTCTCTGTAAAATGGAGCAAATACGAAAAACAACCTAGAAATTCAAATTAAGAATTGTCACATCGATTCGCATTCCAAATTATGGCTTGATATTTTGCTTCGTTGAAAAGAAATCAACTTGAGAAGATAGGTAGTCCGTATTGAAAACGACAAAAACGAAGACGTTTTAGAACGTCACGGAGCAGAAGATAGCGATGCAATTTTGTGTTTTACCCAGGAGAAATCCTGAATAAACTGTTAAAATGTTGGAGGAATAAAAAAAATGTCAGTATTTGAATGACAGAGACTCTGATTCGGATGAGGACAATCTGTAAAGAAACGTTTAACTGTAAAATCTGAGCAAAAACTTTTTTAAAAAATGGAACGTCAAGGAAATACAAGTGCGCTTCAGAGTTGCTTATCCTGTGAAAACACAGTTAAGTAATAAAAGAAATTAAAACCTTAACAAAGGAAATTATATATCGAGAATAATTGTTAAAAAATAAATGTCAAGTCGAAAGGTTTTTAATGAGTGGGTATTTGATAACACTGTATGATCTATATACGGATAGTATTTTTATTTTTAGAAATTCTTGACGCTATGTTTTGACGTTAATTAAATGAAATAAATTGACTACTGTTAAATCGAATGGAATGAAACTTCGCACATCAACAAAACAAATATTTTTACATATTATATTGTGCTTATTTGAAATTTCTAGTGACTAACATATCGATGATTGAAAGCTTTCACGAACTTTTCGAACAACCCTCGTACAAGTGTTTAAATGATTATTCTTCATACATGTATGAATACAAAAAATGTCTGGTAATAACGAGGCATATCTTACCAACTTTAAAATACTGTACTTGTGAGTACAATCAGAACATTTTAATGAAATTATGTTTTTAAAATATCAGTGATTAGTTTAATTGGAAAATAGTACTTTTTAACATAAAAACATGAAATTTTTGATGTCAAAATGGTTTTATAAAGTTAAAAAAAAAGATACGTTTTGGCGTATTTGATTTTGGTAATTTTTTTTGCAATTTAAAATTTTCAAAGTTCCCTGGAATTGTTGAGTACCCATATTCTATTTACACCATTTCTTTGTTATATTGCTGCACAGTACTGGTGAAGTTTCTCCTTCGCTGTCGTTAATATTCCAGTAGGGAATAAATAGAGCATCTTCCTAAGTCAAGAGTTTCTGATCTGATCCGCTCCGCTCCACATAAACCCTTGACCGAATAGGCTAAGATTGACGGGGTTAGAAATGCGTTCTCTAGATCTGACTGGCCTCATGCAAGTTTGCATGAACCAGTCAAAATCATTGTTTTATTCAAACTTAAACTAAATCGTAAACAGAGAAAAACGCCAGTGTTAGTCCCAAAGATAACGTCTTTATCATTAAATAGCCCAGTTAAAGGTTTGTCTCAGCTTTTTAGTTGAGTTACTAATGAATTATTACCGAGTACCAATATTATCTCGAATTCTCTGCTGAATTTGTTTACTCTGATTGGCTAATAGCAGAGGTCAGTTGAGTTCAAAATATCTAATCTCACTAGATGGCGTGACAGTAAACCCCGTCAAACTTAGCCTATACGGTCAAGGGTTTATGTGGAGCGGAGCGGATCAGAAACTTTTGACCTGGGAAGATGAAACAAAGAAGCTTAGTGGAACATTACAGGAACAGGCTATGATTCTCTAATGATTAAAGCATAACTTTTTTCTCGCATTTGGGGTAAACCATTTGATGCTGAGGGGAATAGGAGGACTGACAAATATGAAAAATCACTAAAGAAAATGACATTAAAGAGGACCATTCTGGAAATATGACTCAATTCTGTGATTATTTTCCATAAGAAAAAATAACCGTCGCCCACTTTAATTTTGGTATATTATGTAAACTGGTCAGAAAAAAATCACATATCTCAAAATTTTCTGGGCAATGCAGGCAGAGTGTTTTTTCTGAAAGCACATTCCACTGAAAAAAAAAATGTCTCTTACACTTTTAAAGAAGAATCGTGAAAATGCACAAGTTAATGCATTACAATTACCATTTGGGGAGGTCATATGAGAAAAACGATTTGTATATTCTCACTGCATGGAATTCCTATGGTTCAGAGAGAATGAATTTTAATTATATTTATCACTTTCATATTTAGATAAATACAGGGCTCAATTTGAATTGAAACCGTACCTGTTCTCAACTGTAAAGAAAAAAATATAACCTTTTAGGCCTCTGAGGATGCGCCCGGGCCACAGAAGGGTTCAAGTATCATAAGAAGAACTCTGTTTTTTTTTTCAAGAATATCATAGAAACAACCACAGTCACATCGATAACTGGAAGCAGTCTCATCCAGAATATCAAATGGACTTTATTTATTATCATTTAGAAAAAAGTCAAAGTTTAAGAAGAATAAGGGGAAAAATCATTAAAGTGCACGTATGTGCAATGTGGTTGTAGTATTATTTTTTCAGAAGTTAAAATTAACTTCCATTATCTTATTACAATTGTTCCATTAATTATAATTTTAGATAAAAACATGGAGTAATATATGGAGTAATCTATAGATAATCAATGTTCAATAACATTGTAAGGGGAAAAGGTATACGAGTGCAAGGTGTGCAATATGCTAACAACTTGCGTATCTTATGAGATTACAGTGTGCCGTAAAATCATTTGATAAAGTAAACGAAAGTAAATCATCCTGTTCATACCTTACAATATATATATATACATACATGTATTATGTTTATAATGTTTATGTCTAAAAATTTTATTTAAACGATTTGTGTTATACTCTTTCTTAGAAAGTTTAATTTTAAACTTATTTGAAACTTACCTGAACGTTCGATGTCGAACTACATTTGCAAAAAAATTTCCATTGGAACGATATTCCTATTGGGTAAGTACATGTAGTGTGTTAAAATAAAATACTATTTAAAAAGTCTTGCATTTAAATATTGAAATTAAAAAATAATTTTGATCACTATTTAATTACATATTTTTAATTAATATATAGTGCTGCATTATTCAATTGTCACTTATTCACCACGGATAGGATAATCAGAAACTTGTTAATTAATATAGCCAACCAAAGGTTCTAGGTAGCCAATATGGTTGTAGCAATTTTCCGAGGAATGTGGAATGTATAGAAAATGATTTGAAATCATATTGGATAGAATTGTCTACTTTTTAATTAATACAGAATGATTGATTGATTGATTGTATACTGTTTAACGCCCCTCTCCAGAATATTTCACTGATATGGAGACGTCACCATTACCGGTGAAGGGCTGCAAATTTAGGCCTATGCTCGACATTTACGGCCGTTGAGCAGGAAGGGATCTTTATCGTGCCACACCTGCTGTGACACGGGGTCTCGGTTTATATGGTCTCATCCGAAGGACCGCCCCATTTAGTCGCCTTTTACGACAAGCAAGGGGTACTGGGGACCTATTGTAACCCGAATCCCCAAGGGGCAATACAGAATGAAGATTAGGCATGATAATATTTCAGCCTTGTACAATATGAGAAGTCCATATGTTTGATTGATTGATTGATTGTGTGCTTTTTGCGTCCCATTTCCGTATGTTTAAAGGTACATGCACATTTTTTGCGAAGATAATAACTTAAATAGTCAGCATCTATTTCTAAGGTCGACTTGTCAGCAAATACAAATTTTCATTGAGTCAAACGCTGACTGACGTTTTTCATACTTATTGTTAGTCCATTATTTATACACTGAATTGACGACGGATATTTTTTCCGTTATATCCCGATCATGCCAATGAGCACACGGCGGGTGTAACCGGTCGGCAGGGGATGCTCACTCCTCCATGGTACCTGATCCCTCATCTTATGTTTTGGAGGTCTTTGATGGCTCTGCTTCTATTTTGTAATGTTTTATGGACTTTGATATTGATTACTCTTCGTTATCTCCATATCCTTCTTTATATCTATACGTGGCATTGATTTACAATAATATTATAGTATTAGCGTAATTAATTCGTTCAATTATGTAAATCGCACTTCACGTGAGTATACCCGATAAACCGGACGCATTTAATAGCGGTCCGGATTTCTTTCT